TCAGAGATTTTTACGTGTCTTATTACTACTTAAAACTGTCGGACTTTTTTTTATACTTCATGATGGTGATGGGTTTTTTTTTTTTTTTCTTTCTGGTAGGCTGGTCTGCCTCACACTGTGGCTGCCATGGCGACAGTGAGAAGAGTGGCTGATAGGATTCAGCTGAGTGGACAGAAGGGATGGAGAAGACAGATGAGGACATGGTGTCCTGAGTGTGCACGTCTGTGTCCACAGACAACACCAAGACACTAACACTTGTCTGTGGACACAGGATTTAACGACACCATATGTTGTGGTTATACTGCGATACTATAGACACAACTGTATAGTCCCAGTGTGATCCTAGTCTCTGACTCTGTTCCATCTGAACATCAGTTCTTAACACTGGAACAGAGGGATCTACATTTGGAATCACTAGAGAAGAAAGAAAAGAAAAAGAAAAAGAACCAACACCAGGAATATTGGACTGAGAATTGGTGAGAAAAAAAATAAATAACTGATGGAGGAGGAGATTGATACGGGATCAAGAAAGGAAATATCGCGATATTTCCGTGTATGGATATTTGCTAACATTATTGTTACAATCCAAAATAAGGATAAATAAGATTTTGAATATTTTCCGGAATAATCTTAGAAAAATGAAAACTTTAAAACCATTGCTGTAAAACGGAATAAATCTTGCTAATACATTTTGCTAATAGCAACTAGCATCCCCTTGTTATAACTGTGTCACTGTAGCATCAACAGTCTGAAACTCTGGGACTGTGGGAAAAAAAATCATTAAAAAGTGCTTTGAGTTTTGATGTAAAGCAGTGACTTCTCACTGAGGTTGTACAGTGTAGTATCAGTACTAATACCATCTGTCACTCCTCCTGATATATACCCCAAAATCTGCCCTACTGGTGAGTAGGTGTATGACGCTGACAGATCAGTTTTTATATGATTTTAATTCAACCTTTTTTTTCCCTCTAACTCATCATTGTTTGCTCTCCTCTCTACTCTATTCATTTCTTGACATTTTTTCCCCTTCATCATGGTCTGCATCAACTCCCCCCCACCCCTCGACCCCCACCTTATCTCCCCACCTGTCTGGACAAGAAATCCTGCTCGGCATTTCTCTCTCGCAGCTCTCGCTCCTCCTGCTCCTGGACGTCCAGGGGCTCCTGTTTGATGACCAGCCCACGTAACGGTCCTGGTTCCTGGGCAGAGGTAGAGGAGAGGGAGGAACAGGAGGAGGAGGAGGCTGAAGAAGGCAGCCCCTGGTGCTGCCTGAGCTCCTCTTCTGTCTCCTCCGGGTGACTCTGGTGCTGCCTGGCCGCTGCCGAGACGCCGGAGCCTGAGACCTGCTCGCTGGGCTTGGAAATGATCTGGGAGAACAGAACAAGAACTGTTTAGAACCGAGTTTGGAACCTGAGGAAATCAAGGGAGGGCGGGGTAAACACTGTAGTGTTATTCACACCTGAGGTGTAGTTATTCGTCCAGACTTTTTCAGTGTGTTGGACGGCTGTATTTGTCTTTTAATTCCCGTTACGAAAATATCAAATCAGTGAATACAAAAAAAGTTAATTTTTAAATTAGGTTCACTCGCTTTTAAAAAACGAGGAATGTTTTGTTCTCTGGAAATGTTTGATTTTAATTTTACTGTGACTGTCGCACTCGCGCCACAAGATGGCAGTACACACTAGTGTGTGTGTGTGAGAAGACATGCACGGTGACTTTATGGTGTTGTTTTTGTGTAAGTCGGTTGTTAATCCTCCACACTTCGGAGACGACACTGTGAGATTTTATTAAAACATATTTTAACTGGAAAAAAAACAAAAAACAAACTGAAACGACTCGTTCATTTTAAACGATTACGATTATTGTCGTGCGATTTGAAAAACAACTTTTTCGGTAATGAATCAGAGATTTTTACGTGTCTTATTACTACTTAAAACTGTCGGACTTTTTTTTATACTTCATGATGGTGATGGGTTTTTTTTTTTTCTTTCTGGTAGGCTGGTCTGCCTCACACTGTGGCTGCCATGGCGACAGTGAGAAGAGTGGCTGATAGGATTCAGCTGAGTGGACAGAAGGGATGGAGAAGACAGATGAGGACATGGTGTCCTGAGTGTGCACGTCTGTGTCCACAGACAACACCAAGACACTAACACTTGTCTGTGGACACAGGATTTAACGACACCATATGTTGTGGTTATACTGCGATACTATAGACACAACTGTATAGTCCCAGTGTGATCCTAGTCTCTGACTCTGTTCCATCTGAACATCAGTTCTAAACACGGGAAAAGAGGGATCTACATTTGGAATCACTAGAGAAGAAAGAAAAGAAAAAGAAAAAGAACCAACACCAGGAATATTGGACTGGGAAAAAAATCAATAACTGATGGAGGAGGAGATTGATACAGGATCAGAAAATGGAAATATCGCGATATTTTCTAACATTATTGTTGCAATCCAAAATAAGGATAAATAAGATTTTGAATATTTTCCAGAATAATATTAGAAGAATGATGAAAGAACTTAAAACGGAATAAATCTTGCTAATACATTTTGCTAATAACAACTAGCATCCCCCTTGTTATAACTGTGTCACTGTAGCATCAACAGTCTGAAACTCTGGGACTGTGTACAAAAAAAAAATCATTAAAAAGTGCTTTGAGTTTTGATGTAAAGCAGTGACTTTTCACTGAGGTTGTACAGTGTAGTATCAGTACTAATACCATCTGTCACTCCTCCTGATATATACCCCAAAATCTGCCCTGCTGGTGAGTAGGTGTATGACGCTGACAGATCAGTTTTTATATGATTTTAATTCAACCTTTTTTTTCCCTCTAACTCATCATTGTTTGCTCTCCTCTCTACTCTATTCATTTCTTGACATTTTTTCCCCTTCATCATGGTCTGCATCAACCCCCCCCCACCCCTCGACCCCCACCTTATCTCCCCACCTGTCTGAACAAGAAATCCTGCTCGGCATTTCTCTCTCGCAGCTCTCGCTCCTCCTGCTCCTGGACGTCCAGGGGCTCCTGTTTGATGACCAGCCCACGTAACGGTCCTGGTTCCTGGGCAGAGGTAGAGGAGAGGGAGGAACAGGAGGAGGAGGAGGCTGAAGAAGGCAGCCCCTGGTGCTGCCTGAGCTCCTCTTCTGTCTCCTCCGGGTGACTCTGGTGCTGCCTGGCCGCTGCCGAGACGCCGGAGCCTGAGACCTGCTCGCTGGGCTTGGAAATGATCTGGGAGAACAGAACAAGAACTGTTTAGAACCGAGTTTGGAACCTGAGGAAATCAAGGGAGGGCGGGGTAAACACTGTAGTGTTATTCACACCTGAGGTGTAGTTATTCGTCCAGACTTTTTCAGTGTGTTGGACGGCTGTATTTGTCTTTTAATTCCCGTTACGAAAATATCACATCAGTGAAAACAAAAAAAGTTAATTTTTAAATTAGGTTCACTCGCTTTTAAAAAACGAGGAATGTTTTGTTCTCTGGAAATGTTTGATTTTAATTTTACTGTGACTAAGTTGTTTTATTATTCGAGAGTGTGTGGCCTGTAACTAAATTATTATTGTTGTTGTTCAGTTGTTTACACATACAGTGTAGAAGTGAAGACAAAGACAACACATTTTTAAAGATGTTTTTTTTTCTTCTTCTTCCACAACTGGACTGATTATCTGTTCCAGCAGAAACAGAACCTCCAACAACAACAACGTTTTTACACCGTGGTTACTTGTCATTCACGCAGGTGTGTGAGCTGAGTGAAAGACACCGGAGCAGAAGAGACAGAGAGGAATGTGACGGGTTCGTGTCCCGGTCTTTGTGCTGCAGATGTCCCTGTCGTCACAGACCCCAACCCTGATGTGCAGGTCATAATTGGAGACGACCGTGAACGAGGAACCCACAGAGAGAGAGAGAGAGAGAGAGAGCAGGGAAAAACATATCTCTCTCTCTCTTTCTCACACACACACACACGTACACACACACACTTGACTGGCATATTGCCCAGGGAACAGTCCATTGACGTCAGAGAGCCGGCTCTTGCCTCATCCCAGTCCCTCTTCTCCAAACAAACTCAAAACACTCTGCCTCGCTTTTTTTTTCTTTTGTTGTGTTCTCTCTCTCTCTCTCTCTTTCTCTCTCTCTCTCTCTCTCCTTTTCTAAACAGACAAAAGTGCTTCTGGCATGTGAGCCTCGTACAGGGCAGGCACTAAATAATAATAATAATCAGATAGAAGATAAATAGATAGAGGGCAGGGTGAAGGGAAGGTGCTTGTCTACACAAAACACTTAACACTTGTTGACTCTACATAACTCTCTCTCTACCATTCTTTCACACACACACACACACTTTTACAACAACTTTTATTAAGTGACTATCCGCAGTGTTGTTGTAGCTGTCGTCTCTACGTAGCAGCTAACGCAGCTGGAAAAGTTTCAATTTTTCCTTTTTTTTTTTTCCGTCCATTTCCTGCCTTCACTGCCAACGTCTTAAACAATTCCAACCATATTTCGGGCCTTTAGGTTGAGCCACCTCCCTTTGGCACACCAGGAACACTGAGGCAAACACTACAGCCCAGTAGGGGGCAGTAAAAACCCGAGATTCTTTTTTTTGACGCCAGCGAACAAGAGAGTTTGGGAAAATTCGTTAAATACAAAAACGTGTTTAATGAATTAAATTTAAGATTTAAAATAATTACATTTTTGTCCCATCTCTTCACTACTCTTGTATTGTTTTTCATCCATTTTTACCAGTTTTAATGTTGTACGTGTACAGTCTGACTGTGATTTGAATGTTTAAAACCTGGTGACTTGTCACTTTGAATGTTATTAATATTATTATTATTAATTGTCTTCACTGATAACAAACCCAAATTTCACTAATTAATTTTAAGCCCTCAGACTTTCCCTGCAGCTACCTGCTGTGTATGTTTTTGTATTTTTGGGAAAAATAAAGGCATAAAACAGAGAAGTGTGTTATCAGCATCTGATGTAATAAACTTTGTAAC